CGCCTGCCGCCGCTCCCTAGCGACAGTGCCGCTCAGAAAGCCAATGGCAAAGGTGCTTCTTTGCAAGTGCACGTAAATCCAGTGCTTGTTGGCTGCCCCCTGGCAGCTACAAATGCAGTTCGGAAAGGTAGTTCCCGTCGCCGCCTCTGAGCTGCCCCCGGGCACCTTCTGTTCTTCACCAAGAGCCCGGGTCCCAGGCGGCAAAGTTGTCAGAGGATGCTCAGCCCTGAGTGATGGATGGGAATTGGATGCTGCCTCTCTTGAACGCATTAGGCTTGGCCTGGAGCCAGTCAATGGGCTGGCGACTGCGAGCTGAGAACTTTAGCCGAATCTTGCGAAAGTGCAGACACCCGAAGGCTGGGAGCAATCCTTCTGCCCTGGTCTGGAAGATGAGATTCAAGGATCTAGAGATACCATCTTGTGTCTTTACAGACCTCCCTCGACGTGCTCCCACAGGGCTTTACAGACCTTGAGTTCCCAAAGGAAATGTCCCTGGATCCTAACCAAGATGTGTTACCTACCGAGCATCAAAATATGAATATTATTAGTGTTAACAGTGCTTTTAGAATTTGTCTAACAGGTTGTCCTGACCATTCCGGAAGAACGCCCCCACAAAGATGCATATTAATAAATATGAATGTTCCGAACAATAGGAATAATTTCCTTTTGAACAAACTGTGATCATATAGCATCTATAGCTTTTCCTTTTATTTCTTCACTGTATCCCCAGTTTTCTATAATTCATCATTTTGTATTGATGTTAGCACTTCTGTTCTGCACTTTAAATAATATATTTATGGGGAAACAGGTAATCGTGATGATATGAAAAAACTGATTATTGATGTGAGAAGATGAATTATTGCAGGAAATGTAGCTGCATTTAATAATTCAGAGATGAAACCCATCTGAGAGTCGCTCGGATTTGAAGTTCAAGATTTCTGGTAACCTGACCCAGACATAATTTCAAGTGGAAAGATGCCCAAGGTACTACATTTATAATCATCCTCAAGGGATCTGCTCAAGGAGACTTAATTGACTAGCAGTTGGGAGTCAGGGTTGTTAAGTGTTTTCCATTGTGGTTCAAGAGTACACTCATATACTCTTTAATAAATTCACAGGTCATTAAATATACAGCATATACCTAATTCTTAATTGCTATATAGGGAATGCTGGTGGTGCGGCTGCATAAGCACCCGGCTGCTAATCCAAGGTCAATCCTTCAAAACCATCAACCAGTTCCTGTCTGCTCCCTTAAAGATTTAGTCTCAGAATCCCTATCTAGGGTCTCACAGTAGATTTTGTTTGGTTTAGGAGATGAGATATGGTATACAAACTTAAACAAAGCCATCTAATGGCCCATGTGTGGTTTTTTGATAGCCCAACTATTAGAGAACCCGAATGCTGACTTTGAGAAACCAATAGTCTACTTGCTTCAAGAATCTTAAGGAGAAATCAGTTCATCAACACATGAGTGTGTAAGGCTTGACCATTCTCAGATCACTGCACTTAAAAGAGACAAAGCATCTAATGGCAATATTGTTTTATGTTTAAAGGAAAACATAAATGTACAGGCATTTATGCATGCTAAAACAATATCACCAAATAATTATTTTTAATTCAGAACATACTTTGAAAGCTTTTCAAGGCCTAGACCAAATGCTACCTCCCCCATAAAGCATTTTCTTGTTTCTTTCCACTAATCCCCAAGCCCGAATGCATCACTACAATAAATACAAGAATAAGTAAAAAGATCCTACTGCTGAGAGCTCCAGTTCATACACTTACTGGTTTATTCCAAACATCATTTGTTTTAAGATGTCTCTTTGGTAAATACATGACTGCAGAAATATTCCCTCAGTAACACATTTATCTTAGTCTCATTAGGGTGCCTTAAAATATGATACGTTTTGTTCCATAGAAAGACATTATTTTGAGCTCAAGGCTCATATCCAAGTTTGAACAAAACTCGCATAGGCATCTTTCCAAATCATTGCAGACAGGCAACATGCTTTCAGGAAAGCTGCCCCACGTAAAATAAATTTTCTGATGATTCAAAGAATTTATGAAAGGTTGGGAAGACCTCAAAGACGAAGCATGAGAGGAGAGACTGTCAAAGAGATTGTAGCTGAAGTCCACAAACTGATATTAAGAGACCTTAGAATTAGCATTGATGCAATAGCTGTTGAAGTTGGTATTTAGCATTTGCCATTTTATGCAAACATGTTGACCTTAGTAAGCTTTTGACTTAATTGATATCAAGTGTTGCCCAAAGATCAGCTTGTTCAAAGAGCTAAGCTATCTATCTGTCTTTTAAGCAAGCTTGAAGCCAATAAAGATCGTTTTGGAGTGAGTCATGATTGGGGACAAGTTTTGGATTTACCCATAGGATCCAGAGAGCAAGGTCAAATCCAATTAGTGGTTCCCAAAGGGATTAGCTAGACCAGTTAAAGACAAGGAAGTCTTGCCAGTTCAGAAAATATCAGCCACTGTTTGGGGACCAAACTTCAAAAATTTGACACAAAATAAATTTTGAGAAAATTGGAAATTGGATTGGTGAGTAAAAAGTCAGGAAAATTGCAACACGACCACACGCCTGCTCCTTCATCTCAGGCTGCACGAGCTGTCCTGTGATAACCTCATTGCGAAGCCTTGCCTCATCCATCCTATATTTCTGATTTTGCACCTTTAGACTTCATTTTGGTCCCCAAACTCTAAGAGCACATGAAAGGAGCACAATTTGAGTCCCTTGAGGATGCCAACCTGGTCATTTTGACTCTGCAAATCAAAGCACATAGAATTCTTTGCGAGAAGGGTTGGAGGGATGAAAACACTGACTTCAGAAGTTTATAGACCTAGATGGAGGCTGTGTTAAGAACCAACAGCCTCACTTTTCGATATTTTTTGTCTAAAGAAAGGTTCCATGATTTTTGTAGCAGTGCTTTTGACTTACCTTGCTAGTCAGTGCACAGCATCCTTATGGCAAATATTGTGATGGAAGCATGAGTTCAAAGTAGAAAGCTCTGTCTTTGCCCTAAAGGGGTCAGTGTTTTTGACATAATTGCCATGTATAGAAATAATATTATTTGTGCTAATATAGATATCAATGACATGTCCTAACATAGATATACAGAACATTCTGTGAAAGTCTTGGTGATGGAAAAATCAACTGTGTCTGGTATTCACAAGGAAATATTTATAAAGTAGAATAAAATGTGAAAAATAAAATGCTGAACTTTTCTAGATGGAATTGCTGGAATGGGAATATGAGGAGAACTTCAAAAAGTTCATGTGAAAATGGAATTTAAAAAGAAAGAATTTTTTTCTACTGACTTTTTGAAGTCCCTTTGTGGTATTCAGGGCTTTGCATTTTTTAAAATGGCATATGGAAAGGTACAGAGGAATGAAAGAAGCTGGTGGTTAGGAGAATTGGCATATGAGGCAAGAAAAAAAATAAAAGTAACCAAACAGAATTCAGCTCTTTGAAGGTCTTAAATGTCTTGTTGAGGAGTATAAACTTGCATATACTAGGCAAGGAAAAGTGATTAAAGACTTTTGAGGAGGGGAGTGATAAAGTCAAGGTAAATGTTTCAGAAAGATGACTCTGGTCACAGCATGCATAATGCACTGAAGACTGCTATAGCAAAACCAGTGTGGATCATCATAGTAATCATATGCAAAGGATGTCGGTCAATGCTAGGACTGTAGGTGTAGCGATGAAGTGTGTAGAATGTATTCAAGGAATATTTAAAACCAATTTATAAGATGAGGTTGGAAGAGGGACTAAAGGATGACCCTCTGCTTTCTGAAATGAAGCTATAAGATGATAAATTATTCCCCGAAGTCATCCAATGAATAATTGGTAGGGTTATATCTTAATTACAGTTTTTCTAACTCCAAGGCTGAAAGTTGAAACTATTTCCACTCTCTGTATCCTGAAAAAATGGTCAAGAATGTAGTTTGTATATCAAAGCTTTCATTATTTATAAGGGTTATATCTCATTTGTGGTACACAGTAGGGACACAGTAAATAGCAGTTGAATAATGAATGAAATATTAGATTCAAACCAACTTAGTTCTGTCATGCTAAACTTTGCCTCTAACTCATGTAACTTTTCATTTCAGTTACTAAATTATGTATGCATATTCACTTTCTCTCTCTTTTTTAGATCCTCTTCATAATTGTGAACTTTCTAAAGTCATGAACTATGTCAACAATTTTCTTATATTGACAGCATGTAACAATATATTTTCATTATGTATTCTGAATAAACATGTTTAACTTAAGTAAGATTATATTGTTATACATTTTAATAATTTGTTTCAGTTAGTTCTTTTAAGATAGTCCTTTTAACAAACAACCACAGTTTTCAACTGGATGTAATGTTTTCCAGTAACCCTAAGAGTGCCTTCACGGTCCTTCATCTGCTCCTTGGCTGAGTGCAGCATGAAATGTTCGTTTTCCTGGGAGAATCTTTTGACCTCATTGCGCTACCTGA